GGTAGCGCGCTCCCCTGGCATGCGTGCGGCCTGGGTTTGATCCTCCGCACCGGTTGTGTCCGCTGAAAACTAACTCTCTCTCTCTCTCTCTCTCTCTCTCTCTCTCTCTCTCTCTCTCTCACTATCTCTCATTCTCTCTTAAAAAAAAAGGATTTTGTTATTGGTAAGGGAACTGGGATTAGAATAGGCATACATACGATTTCAGGTATTTTCTTAAATATTAAGTTAAACTATTTCTATGCTATTAATTTAATTTCTATTAATTTCCTTTTTATGTCTCAAAGGTTCCCAGAGAGATTCTTTTAGGCAGGTCTGTCACCAGATGATTTAGAGTGCCCCTAGTGGACAGACCTCTGCTTCCAGAACATTCTTAGACTTCTGGTTGTCCTGGAGTCAGACACAGATCCTATTCAATCAGATAACATTAGCTTCATGGCAAGGTTATATAATGCATAACTTAGTTACTTACTTTCAAGGAATTGTTTTTAATTCTATGCAAAGATACTTCCAGTGTGACTCTCATTTTATGTCTTCTCATAAAAGGAGCAAATAATGCAGTGACTCCTGGCATGGCCTATTTAATTTCTACATTTTTCAAATGCACTATCTAAATAAAAGATTTGTCTATAGTTTCACCTTATTTACAAAGAAATGAGTGAAAACACAAGATTTCATTATCTTATTCACTATTCTACCAGCCTCTCTCTTACTGTCACAAAGCTATCTGCGGTAGAAAAGGGAAATAATATTACTGTATATTTTAAGGGTGAAGATACTGAGGTTGGTTTGATGTCTAATGGTTAGTGAGAGTTCAGGACTAGAATAATTCTGCTTCCTGGCTCAGTGCTTTCCACAGTTTCCATGATAAAGAGGAAGAAAAAGGCAGGAATGAAGGATAGGAGAAAGGTATTTTACAATTATTAAGTGCAAATAATGTGCTTAATTTTCACACTATTTAAAGGAAGTTTTAATTTTAAATTGTTTTGCATATTATGGTTGCAGAGAACTATATTCATCCTTTCTCTGTGTCCAGAAGATTAATATTACATTTATTTTATGTGTGTAGAAGTTATAGAAAAGTCAGACAATGTAGACACATTAGGAAAATTAGTTGGCAAATTCAATAGAATAGTCATCTGTTCATAATCTTAGTATCTGGCAATTATTAAGATAATTGACAAAAGAGAAATTACCTGGATTAATTACCCCTTTTACTCAGGGCACCTTTAACAATCTCATCTGATTTTCTCATCTTGATTCAGCAACATATTTTATTTGTTTATTTTTCTTTTTTAAAATCGTTTTTCTAATGACTATAGATCACATAGGTGTTTATAGGATTTAAGAATTTGATTTATTTTTAGTTTTTGGTCAGAATAGTTTTTATATTTTTCTATGTGGGAAAATAATTCTCAGTTCTTCTTTTTTCTTTTTTGGTAGTTTTGAACTGAACTACTGAGCCATATCCCCAGTCCTTTTTTATTTTTCATTTTGCAGTGGGGTCTCACTAAGTTGCTTCCCTCAGGAGCAATTTCCTTCTTCCCTCGGACACCCCAGTCACTGGGATTACAGGTGTACGGCCACCATACCTGGTTTCTTAATTGCTTCTTATGCTCAAAATCAGTGATATGTTCTACTTATCATTATAGATTAGGCTCAAGGATTTGTTTGTGTGTGTGTAGGGGGAGGGGACAATGATAAAAATCCCGTGTCTTTACATTTTTAACTGATACCCTGTCTTATTGTTGCATTTGTGTACTCAGGGATATGTGCTTTCTGAAGGAATGTTTATAGGTAGAACTTTTAACTCTGTTGTAGGCAATTATCTGAAATGGAAATTTCCTGAAACTTTCTGATTTTATCTTATTACCCATTTCATATTTAAACCACATTTACCAAATGAAAAATTTAGCTTATGAACCTCTTTTGGAAAGCTCCTGAAATAAATAAAAGTTATTTTTAGACACATGTCCTTGATGTGAATGCTTATCAGCATGGTATTTTTGTGACTCTTGGCACATTAAACTTCCTGATTTTCCTGACTGGTCATGTGAGGGCAAATTAAGATTCAATATGAAGAAAAATATTTCTCTGATGGCAATTGTGTTTAATGCTAAGGTATAATAAATATCTGTGGAATATCACATCTGACTTTGAAACAGAAAAATACTGGTAACTTTCTAAGACTAATTGACAGGTAGACAGGGAGTATTTCCTGGGGATTGAAGTTCATATATTATTGCGAGCCTTGCAGTTAGCCAAGCACTGCATTCCACCAAACAGGACTGAACATGACTTGAGTGCATTCACATATTATTCATAGCATTGTATCATTTATCTTACCAAATATTTATTGGGTTTGGTCGTATATTTTATTTAATAATCTTTGTTTGGCTGAATCACTCTAAAATAAGATTGAACAGAATTTCTGGCTAGATTTTCAATTTTCATCACTTTTGTACATTATCTTTTACCTTTGCCATTAAAATATTACACTTAGCCAAGTTTAACCAAATAAAAAATATTAAGGATGTTTTTCTCTAACATTTGTATGGCATCTTAAAATACAGGAATAAAGTATCTTTGTTAGTTACTACCTTTGACAGTTCAAACAATAATAATTTAATTAGTCTGGGTTCATATTCCTTCAATTATAAAATAACTTTTACCCCATATGGTACCTGGAATGATTAGGTGTTCTATAAATACTAATTTATGTCTTTCATATTCTTAATATATGTTTTATTATATCATACTTGTAAATGCAATTATTTAAATTCTAAAAAATGATATGTGGTTTATTATGTTTCATGAAGGCATTTTTTTTTTAGAATCAACAAGTCAAGAATCTTATGTTTTCAAAACTCTTTGCTGTTTTTCACTCTTCCTGGTTAAATTTGTATTCTCTACTAAACAGATTAATATTCTGTATTAGCAGTGCTCATTAGCCATGTATCCTGATAAAGTCCATGTGTATACATGGCAGGCATTCCGCATACCAGGTACAGGGAGTGGAACATCCTGAATGGGCAGGCCAAGTCTGCATGATGAGACTAGTTAAAGACTTGAGGCTTCTGAATTTCAGTGAAGGTTCTACCCTGAAAGATTTGCAAGATCAGATACAAGTTTCTAAGTACAGATATAGAGCAGCTGATGGAGAAATAGAACCAATCCTATAAGATGCCTGAAGTGCAATTTTAACATGCACCTTTGAAATGCATAACTGTATTTTGTTTTAATGTTTTGGCAGAGTTTACTGCCAAAAACCCAAATTAAAAGAGGAATGACTGGGAGTGGGTTTGGGGTAAGGTGAAAGGAGGGTTTTTTTTTTTTTTTAAAGGAAGAATAGGAAAATAAGGGAAGCATAATGGCTTTTAAATAAAACCCATTAATCACATCAATTTTTGTTAAGAAGTAGTGGTCCTTATGGCTGCTTCTTTCTGAAATTCAAATTCTTTCTTACTTTTGGGTTTTTTCAGCTTGTACACTGGAGGAAAGCTGACCAGGTGTGTTAAGACACATCTCACAAGATGACTATCTACTTTTACTGCACCTCTAAGGCCCCTTGGATTCTTTGGGTGGGGTGGAGTAGAAGAGAGTAGCTTACTTTGTTTCCTAATTATTCCTGTTTCCTTCCCCCTTGAAATTAATTCTGCTAATAGTGCATTTATATAAGGTTTGAGTGATATGGGAAATACCTGAGGATTCAGGTGGTATTTAGGAGAGACAATAGTAGTGACTAAGAACTCATAATAGGCTGAGCCCAGTGGTACACAACTGTAATCTCAGAGACTTGGAGGCTGAGGCAGGAGGATTGCAAGTTCAAGGCCAGCCTCAGCAATTTAGTGAGACCCTCAGCAACTTAATGAAATCCTGTCTCAAAATAAAAAACAACTAGGAATGTAGCTCAATGATAAAGTACCCCTGAGGACAATCTTCAATACCAAAACCAAACCAAAATAACAAAAAAAACCCTCAAAGTAACTTTGTCTCTTACACTTTATACTTTAAAATTAGTACTTAGTAAATCAGAGCAGATATGTCACTTTAAAGAACTCATTCTCAACTGAGATTACTTTTGCCCCAAAGGATATTTGGCAATGCCTAAAGATATCTTTCCTTGGATTAACTGTTCTTACCTGTTCTTCTAAACCTTTCTTTCCACCTTACTCCACCCTGTCCAACTCCAAGCCAATTCTTTTTTTCATTTAGTCTTATTGCAGTGAACTATGTCAAAACCATGAAATGAAATGAAACCACATATTTCAGAGGTAAATGTTAACAGGAAATGAGGGAGGGTGTGTGCCTGTGTTATTGGCATTGGAAGGTAGAAGCCAATGGTGCTGCTAAACATCCTACAGTGCAGAGGATAGCTCCTCCACAGTTATCTAGGATGAATGTCAATAAGGCTGAGACTGAGAAACCCTGTTGTAGAAGAACAACTTGCTTTCAAGAGAGTGAATCTCAACTATGAAGAAATTAAGGTCTCACTACATAATTTTTAAAAGTATTGATTGTAATGATGAAACTTAGTTTTTTTTTTTAAGACAATTTTTTGGCAATACCTATCTAAGCACTGTTCAGGAGAATCTTTGTTCATTCGTTCAAAAAACACAGAATGCCTCCTGTGAGGCAGATCCTGTTCTAGGTGTTCAGTGTGAATTATGGGGCTTTTTTAATACTATTTTTTTTGTAGTTGGACATAATACCTTTATCTTATTTATTTTTATGTGATGCTGAGGATTGAACCCAGGGCCTCACATGTTCTAGCTGAGCCACAACCCCAGCTCATACGGGGCTTTTTAATATCTCTTTCCTTTACAAGAAGATGGGCACTTGAGGCCATTAGACTTGTTGTCATCAATCATTCAAATAAAAAGTAACTGTTTCCATTCCCTGTTCTGAGCCTGTGCTTACCAAGTTCTTCTTAAAGCTTTGTTTTAGCAAATCACGTGTCCAAAGGAGAATGTGCTATTGAGGCCTGTGTCCCTATGTAACTGACAATTACATTACTTTGTGTGTAGTCCATTAGAATTGGCTTCTGACACCCACGTGTGCTCCCTATCTCTTGCCATGTGATGCACTGTGCTCCCATGAGACTCTGCCAGCAAGAAGGTCACCATTGGATGAGATGCCTAGAGAATTTCTTTGGATGATGTACAGGTGTACTTAGCCTAGAAGAAAGCAGGACTTTCTATGAAACCCTAGAAGAGATTAATTACTGTGTACAGAGCAAATGCCATTTCATTGCCATTGTTTCCAGCTCACATGGTGGCTCTTCAGAGGACTGCCTCGGTGGAAAGCCATCAGCCAGAGTCTGTGATTAGAATCAAATCTCCTAGTACTTTCCCATGAACTGGTATACAACTGAACACCCAAAAGGGGTGGTAAATGAGACTCCAGCTCACAGACAAGGAAAGTCCAGTAGTCCACAGCACATTACATAAGATCTTTGGATTAATTTGGGGTATGGGAAAAAATTTAAAATTGAGAAGGAAAAGATGAGTATTAGGTTTCTGGCTTGAGTAACTGGGTGACTGTACTGTCATTTATTGAAAAGAGGATGATGGTAGAAGAATGTGTATGGGGGAAATTTGTTAAATAGAAATGAAAGCCATTTAGACAGGTCCAGAGAGATGCCATAGCTGGAAATATAGATTTTTTGAAAATGAAGCAGGTTGTATCTAAAGATGTAAATGAACTCAGAATGAGCAATTCATTTGACAAGAAGAACCTTAAGACAATGTAGTTCCACGAGAGAAGAAAATGTCTCAAGGAGCAGTGATAGGAAAATAGCTGATACTGTTAAGAGTCAAAAAAAGGACAGAGAAGTGAAATTGGTTTGGGTGTGATGGAGGTTGTTGGTGATCTTGCTTAGAACAGTTTCTGTGGAATCATGGGGACAAAGTCAGGTTAGAAGAGTTCTTAGTTTTTTTAAGACATTGCTGTGACCAAAAGACCTGACACAAACAATTTTAAAGGAGGAAATTTCAGAAGTCTCAGTTTATAGATGACCAACCTCATTGCTTTGGGCCGATGAAGGAAGAACATTATGGCAGAAGAGTGAGGTGGACGAAAGCAGCTCAGGACGTGGCACCAGGAAGCAGAGAGAACTCTGTTCACCAGGGACAAAATATATATAACTACCACTCAGTTAATCCCTAATCCCTATCAGGGGGCTTAATGCAGTGATTAAGTTAAGACTCTCAAAACCCAATCATTTCATCTTTACATGTTGTCTCATACATGTGCTTTTGGGTGGATACCTCAGACTTTTTTCCTGTTCTTTTTTTGTTGTTGTAATTGTTGTTGTTACTAGGAATTGAACCCAGGGACACTTAACCATTGAACAACATCCCCAGTCTGTTTTATTTTTTTTATTTTGAGATAAGGTCTTGCTAAGTTGCCTAGGGCTTTGCTAAATTACTGAGGCTGGCTTTGAACTTTCAGTACTCCTGCTTCAGCCTCCCGAGCTGCTGGGATTATAGGTATGCGTCACTGTACCCAGCTTACACCATAACAATCATATTGATGAGGAAAGGAAGTTTGGAGATGAAAAGGATGACTTCAGATATCATTTTGGGTATTTTGTTGGGCATACAAGCAGAGAAATGTGTTTGTAGCTTGCAAAGGAGGTGTGAATGAGAGAACAGCTCTTCCTCTTTCCATTTATCCTTCTATAAATCTACCCACCCATTTTTTTTATTATGTATAGTTATCACACTGAGAATTTGGAGGTTATTATATGCTACAATCCTTGAAAAAAGCCCTAGGGGATGTGAACTATACACAAGTGTGAAGTACATAGGAGCAGGAACACCTCATCTATTGGAAGAAGAGGAGAAAAGGTAGCATTTACACTTAGGAAGACTTTGTTTGATGGGAAAATGAGGGAGTTCTCATCCAATTCCTTTTACTTGTGCAATGAAATAAGTCAGGTCATCAGCAGATAGTTGGAGGGATGGTCAGGAGTTGGAGATTTGAGAAGAAGAATTTTAAGTATTAGAGAGAGAAGAAAATTCAAGAGAGCAGCGGCCTGCCAAAAAGGTGGACAATGGGATGAGCTGTCACATCAGAGGAAGAATGTTTTAGCACTGACGTTAATGAGGATTGTTAGTCTGTGGTAATAATACATAGCAGATGAACTTTTAGTTGGCTTCTTCATTGTTTTTAAATTCTCTTTAGGCAATGGGCCTCTTATTGTCTGTACTTGGCAAGGACAATTTCCACTGCTGATCCCTCTTTGGGCTACTGCAAGGGAATTAAGGACATTTACAGGGAAGAAAAGACCATGGACTCCAAAGAGAACAGATCTACCTCAAAAGCTATCTGTGAATTGAAAAATCTAAATCCTCTCTCCACCAGGTGCTCCCTGTACTTACAGTTCTAAATAGTATCATTACCTCCATTTTACAAGTAAGGAATGTAGGAAGTTCACAGAGGTGTAAACCATGCAGGCCCGGCAGTGAGCTGGTGGATAACAGGCACGGCTGAAAGCCAAATCCAGACTCTCCATCCAAGGCATTTGTGCTACTTCTTCTTCTTCTTCTTCTTTTTTTTTTTTTCTGTTGAGCTATACATCATCTCTAAAGTCCTTTCATTTTTTGACCCTTAAAGGCCAAAGACTATAGCACAAGCAGTTATAATTAGTGTATTATTGTTTAAACATAATAATGTGAGGCTGATAAATATAGTTTGTTTATATAAATATACAGTAGGAGATTTTATCTTGATATGTGATAAAGAAACTGACAGTTGCTCTCATGAGAGATAACAGTGGTAGAGAGAGGTGGGAGGTATAATTCAATGTATTTTTGAGGTTAAGTCTACATTGAAGGCTGAGAGTCAAATCATACAACTGATTCAAATTAAATTAATTTATTTCTGACAAGTGTTGATATTATACAGTGTACAATAGGCATGTGTTAATTTATTTTAATGAGTGAGCAAAATTATGTGAAGAAAAGAAAGTTTGTGGGTGGAATATAGAGTATTATATTTAGACAATAGTCTTAAATTCTATGTAGCTTCAGTCCTCATCAAGCCATCAGCAACAGGCTTTCAGCACAGTTCCTTTAGCACCAGTCAGTACTGGAGACACTCTGCTACCTGGACTGTGAGAGTCAAGTGAGAAAGTCAGAACAACGTGTTCTGTTCTGAGGTAACAAAGGTGTGAGGGAGGATGATCAAGAGACATTTGGTTCCATCCCAGGAACACTGAAACTGCTCTGCTGAATATTTTGTTTGTACTTGTTCGGTCAGGAGTCTGCCTTCTTTAAAAAAAAAAAATGTGTTTTTCTTCCTTTTAGAAGTTCCAAATTGGAAAAGATGTGGGGTGGAGCAGGATGACAGAGGCCCCTACCACCTGCACTCTCCTCTCCACACCCCACTGGGTCTCAAGTCTCCAAGGTGCACAGCAGACTCCTGAAGTGAAGGTGAGGATGTGAGATAGTTTGAAATTTTCCCTTGCTGATTCTAATATGAGTTTCTCCCCTTCTACTCTTATCCCCCGCATCAATCCTGAAATATCACTGTTTCAATGCCAAAAGTTAAGGACACAAACACAACTCCTGGGTGGTCAGAAAGGCATGCAATTATATTCTTAGAATGTATGCAGTGCCAAGCTGGAAAATGTAGTCTTATATATATATATCAGAATATGTATGTCATAGATTTTTATTGACCTAGGAGCTGTTTTAAATAGGGTTCACATATCTTTAGGAATACATCAAAACCAAGGGCAAATACAAATGGTTTTAGTCACCCTGGGAAACCTAAGTATGTGCTTTCTCTATACTCCAGCTTCACTGAGGCAGCACAGAGATGAATAATTTGGATTCCAAACATACTGGCTTATTCAGCTTAGTGAGATATATTAGCAATTAACTTACATGTTTGCATTGATAGACTTAGCCCAGTAGTTTAAGATGCCAGCTGGAGTTATATTAACATTTTTCCTTGTTCTATTAATTGTAGTTATTAAGATTCTGCATAATACGCAATCTTTCTTGGCACCCAGTGCTGTTGCTTTTAATATGCAAATCTAGGACATTTAACTTGTGTGCATGGGCGTGGTCATAAGCATGAATGCACATGAACACACATGCACACACAAGGCAAAGAAGCTGATTTCTGATAATACTTGGATGTATTTCCCTCAGATGAATAAATGACATTTAGTCCTCTTTAATGTAGTTGACAGAGAAAAAGAAGGTACATAAATAAGTTATCTTGTTTTTATAATTTTTCATGAATTTAAATATTGATCTGTGACATGAAAGATTTTATTTTAGGGCTTACTAGAAGGCACTAAGGAAGTTTGAAGGTGTTGTATTAGTCAGGCTAGGATAGACTGTGCTTCACAAAAAAACCAACTCAGAAATATCAGTGTTAATAATATATAGCCACCTTCTCCATACCTCACAGGTTGTCAGGCAGCTTGCTTTGAACCATGATTCAAGGATCCATCTTGACTCTATCATCTCAATGCTAGTTTTCCACATTCTTTGAGGCAAGAAATGAAAGTTGGTGCAGTGTTCCTCTGGGGTTTCGACTGGCTCAGCCTAGAAGTTACATACATTGATTGTATTCACACATTCTTTGGATCAGAGCTAGTGATATGGGCCACTTATATCCAGTAGAACTAGAATTGTGAAGTGCGTACTTATTGATGAGAATTCCAGATTTATGCTACACTTGTACGATAATGACTGAGATAAGGGAATAAAATAGTGAATTTGTAGGGTTAAAAGCTAATTTTATTCAAAAGTTTTTGCTCTTATTTTGTGTGCTTTTACAGAAAAGCACAACTAACGAGTGTTAACTGGTTAAAAGCTTCTGCGTTTTGTAATTTTTTCTGAGATTCACATCTGCTGGGATCTTTATATCCTTTTGATTTATGGTTGTCATGCATCTAGGTGATCAATATATAAAAAATGACATGTGCATCTGAGCTGTGATACTGTGTTTGTGATACTGTGACCAAGATGTGGCAGAACTTATTAGCATTTTTAGGTAACTTTATGTGAAAGAGGAACCCCCCCCCTTTTTTTTTAGATACTGTGGATTGAACCCAGGGCCTCACACATGCTAAATGAGTACTTTTATCATTGAGCTACAACCCCAGACCTTTAAAATTTTATTCTGAGATGGGCATCTTTCTAAGCTTCTCGGATTAGCCTCAAAATTGCAATCCTCCTCCTGCCTCAGCCTTCCAAGTAGCTGGGATTGCAGGTTTGTACTACTGCAACCTGGTGATGAGAAAACATTTTTAAAGAAGATGTTTGAAAACCGGAAAATTTTATAGTCATAAAAAGTAAGAAAGAGATTATTGATAATGAGAGATTAAATCATTGACCTACTTTTCCTCCCATAATAATTACTTTCCTTATTTTTCAAAATGAAAAAAATATTGTTTTCATGTAAAAATACAAATATAAAAGGAAAATATACAAATATAAAATGGAAAAGGTAAAACACATTATAACTCTATCATCCCTAGATAATCATACTGCAGTCTAGCAAACAGCTCCCAAGTCTCAGTAGTCTGTTTTATTTATTTTTTAAATATATATATTTTAGTTGTTGATGGACCTTTATTTTATTTATTTGTTTATATGCAGTGCTGAGAATCAAACACAGTGCCTCACACATGCTAGGTAAGCGCTCTATCACTGAGCCACAACGTCAGCCTTCAATAGTCTATTTTAGTAAATGTTTATTTCTTGCTTATACAGACTCTGTAGATCCTCTTTATCAGATGCCTCTGGGCAGCTGTCTTCTAAACCTCAGGCATCTAGGCCACCTGCAGTTTGTGATGTTATAATGGAGGCCTCCAAGGTCTCTACAAAAGTAAAGAGAGTATGGAGAAAACACATCACTGTATTTTTACGTAAGCTCTCCAGCCTGGAAGAGACATACCATGCCGTATTTGTTCATGTCATATGGCCCAAACTAATCACATAGTTCCATTTACAGGAAAGGCAGCTTGGAAATTAGTCACTTCCCAGCAGGAACTTTGGAGTCCACAGAGATAACATGGATCTTTGGAGGTCAGCTGCTGTCTCTGCCATACCACTGTGGATATGGGTCGTCTTAGATCACTCTCCCTAGACTCAGATACACTCAATTTCAAAAAAATGGTGTCATGCTATCATAGAAAACATACTAAACATTCAGTTTGAAAGCTAGACTAATAGTTCTTAGTAGTAAAATGTACCTCATTGAATTTGATGCTCTATTAAAAATGTCTATATGGAGAGCTTGGTACTGTGGTGTATGCCTAAAATCCCAGCTACTTGAGTGATTGAGGCAGGAAAAGCACCAGTTTAAAGCCAATTTGGTCAACATAGTAAGACTCAGTAAAATAAATAAATAAAAATAAAAATAAAAAATTATATAAGGAAAGGAAATATTGGTTTTACTAGGAAAAAGTAACTAAAGATAACCATTGTTTTCTTTATGTAAAGTATGCTGAAAGATTAAGAAACTAGGCAGACAACTGTGGTTCTCAAAAAATTTGAAATTTGAAATTTTATTTTACCCGAACTTTTATGCTTAGTTTTAGCCCAGTTATAAAACTTAAAGTTATACTGCTGGAATGTTGGTGGGTTCACTAAATTACATACAACTATCTTCAAGGAAGAAAGAAACAATGTCTTTTCTACCAAATTGGCAACATCTTCTCCCATGAATCTTAGGAAATAACAATTCTGTTTCTTGGTATATAGCTGGCATTTTAATTATATTTTAATAGTATTTTTGAAGAATGTTTTTATTTTCGAATAGTTTTATATTTGCTGAAAGTTCACAAAGATAGAAGAATGGGTTTCTGAATATCCATCATCCAGCATTGCCTAATTTTTATCTTACATAACCTCAGTATACTTGCCTAAGAAATAATTAACATTGGTACAGTATTACTAATCAAACTTCAGAGTATATTTGTATTTTACCACTAAAGTCCTCTTGCTATCCATGGCTGGCTCAGGATATCCTGTTTACATTTAATTGTCATATCTCCTTATTTTTTTCCAATCTGTAACAGTTACTTGATCTTTCCTTGCCTTTCATGACCTTGAGATTTTAAAGAGTTCTGGTCAATCATTTTGCAGAATGTCTCTCATTTTGGATTTATCTGATATTTTCTTATGATAACACTGGGGTTAAGGACTTTTGCAAAGAATGCCACAAGGTGAGGCTTTCTTCCAATTGCATCATTTGAGGGATCACATGGCATTAATGTGACTTATCTCTGGTGATCTTAACCTTGGTTAACCTTAACTTTGGTTAAGGTTGTGTCTGCCAGACTTCACTGGTATGTTATTTCCATATTAAATAATAATTGTTATGCTTCACTATGCTGGGTATTGATCTTGGGTATATTCTGTTCAGTGGTTTACATTCAGCTCTCATGGGTATACAGCTTTAGTGGGCACCTGTCTTCTCCTCAGAGCTACATACATAGCTTTGTTACCTCATATATGTTACTCCACATTCCAGTCACGGGAAATAAAAAGTGATTCTTTTTGCCCAGCTTACATGAATTGGTGTCAGTGTTTGACACAGTTGCCTGTTTAGGAACCTTAAGCAAGAAAGCCCATGAAAAGGAGGGAGCAAGTAGCACAATTGGTAGTACTTTGTGTTGTCAACTTACACTGATGCTGTGGAATCCTAACTTAAGATCTGGCCCCAACAGTCCAGTACTGTCCCCAAGTAAATTCCAAAATGAACAGCTACTGCATATTAGTTGATTGAGCACTTAGATCACCCTAGATTAGGAAACTTTAGGACATTTCCCACAGTTAGTACTTATTTGGGTGGTGATGCCCAGTATTATAAAGGATCTTGTGACCAGACCTAAGTGAAAAGTAGAAAGTGCTTCTGTGCCAAAACAAGATAAGGCCTCCAGTTTGGTGAAGCCCTCTAAGAAACAAATACAGTTATATATAAGTTAATAAATTTCATGCTTAATACATAGATTTGAAAATAAGTAATGCCTTAGAAGTTACTCTGTTTGTTATTGTGTCTATCCTATTCAGTGAAGAAAATCATTAGGCTCAGCATTTTTCCACATAGGAAAGTTGATTTATGATTTGGCTTTTTGTTGCTTTTTTTATTTTTGGAGGGTGTTGGTGGGGATTGATCCCAGGGATGCTTTACTACTGAGTTACACACTCAGCCCTTTTTATTTTTTATTTTGAGTCAGGATATTGCTAGGTTGCCCAAGCTGGCTTTGAACTTGCAGTCCTCCTGCCTCAACCTCCCAAGTTACCAGGATTATAGGTATGTGCCACTGCAGCTGGCTATGATTTGGCTTTTATATAGATCGGTAAGTTACCATGAAATCATGAGAATGGGAATTAAAAGTTTTATTTGTAGATAAGATAACTTTTATCCTTTCATTTGATATTCATTTAGGAATTTTTATCCTGTTATTATAAACATAAATAATAGTTTAATTTATAAGAAAAATTTATTTTAAGGCATTTTGTGTTTATGGAGAAATTATGACATATTCTTTTGGAATTGAAGATTCAAACTGCAGCATGGTTTCACTAGATTTTCAATGATTATTATGTCAGCACAGAAATGATATTGTTTCAACTGGTTTAGTTTTTTTTCTCGAAGAATGTGTTGTTCCTGCCATATGGTGTTGCTTGTGAAAACAGATTAGATGCTGACCTTATTCAGTGCTGCAGTGATGTCTCTTCTGATTAGAAAGTAGATTCTCAGTGTGTGTGTAGGGGGGGGGGAGTGAAGTTTCTATGCCCAGGATTAGTGCCAGCTAGGTTTGCCCCAAGCCACTGGCTCTTGTCTCCTCATGTTACAGCACTTGCTTCACACTTGAAGTCTCAGTAGTAATCCCAAAGCATGTACCAATGTCATAATGGCTGCAGCAGACACATATAGTACCTTCAGCCAGCCCTCCTGTGGGAGGCTAGGACTTCCGTTGACTTTCAGTCACCAGTGCTGACTGCAATTCCTCATGAAGAGTACTTTAGAGATGAGAGAAGTTCAAAGAAGTTGAACATCAAAATAAGAAGTAAAAATTGGGGTCTTAGGCTCTGTGCAGACTTGAACTGACCTTTTCCCAGTAGATTTTGTGTCATACATCCTGAGGAATATGGTGCTGGGTGACATTTTCTTAAGTTCTAAACTTGATCTATTACCCCATGATATTAATTCAGATTTTTTATTCTATTTCTTCTATTTCATGAATTATTTATCATAGGAATTCTCTTCATTTTGCTCTGTTATAAAAATAGGATTTTCATAGTTATCTGATTATTTAGCATGAATAAAACCTTCTCCCATTTTCTTTACTACCCTCAGACATTGTATTCACCATGTCCAGTTTAAAACACTAGAAACAAAAAGTCTGAGTATATGATGAAGTACAAATATACATTGCAGAGAAGCTTACAAGGACAGTCTCAAAACTTGATCTAAGAAAAAATAGAAAAGGAAATTGCAGGGCCAGTAGGGGTGGAGGGAGAGGAACTGGCCTCTCTCTGATCAGATTGTTGAGAGTTTAAAGACACAGAGCTAGGGAGATGACAGGCAGGTAATGACCTCTCTGTGGCCTATCACCTCCAGCAGGGCCACAGAAAAACAGCCGTTCTCTGTGAAGTTGTTTGGAGGGGGTTCTCCTTCTGGCTCTAGGTTTCAGTGTGAGCAGCAGGCTAAAGCAAGCCCAGGGAGACAGAGATGAGCAAATGACAGAGATACTTCTAATAAAGCCACTGTGGGGATGGAAGCAAAGGGAATGAAGATGCTGGGAGACTTGAAATAGACTATACCCGTCCATGGTTTTGAGGGTGGGCCTGTGGAGGGACAGAGACAATTAATTCAGTTGCAGTCATTTGATGGTCACAGATTTTTTTTAGGAGTTCTGTTTGCCTCTATGCTTGCTGTTTAATAAACACATCCTAACATATTTGGGCTAATTTACGTTCTTAATCTGTTTGTGGTGAAAGTTTATAGTGCATTTTAGAAATCTTCCCTGAGAACAACAACCATGGCAAAGGTATTCTTTGAGGCAACTAAAGACAGGGAAGTTTAAGAAGAGAGTGGAAGAGAGAGGTTTTTTTCATTTTATTATAGCAATAGCTTGAAGAAGTTGTTGGATCCGAATTCTTTGTCCTGTGGGAAAGTAAGGGACAACCGCTAGCCTGCTGTGACTAACAGAAAGACATCCTTTCCGGGGTAAGAAAGAAATAGAGATGACAAATTCTTTCACAGGAGCAATGAAGAAATTTTTAGGTTTATTTCAAAAATTATAAGAAA